ATACTCTGAGATTATAATCCGTTGATGAGTACATCATTGAATTTTATTGGACGGGTACAGAGCTGTCAAATGTATGTTGGACGAGGCGCTAGCCGAGACTGATATAAAGTTTTGCAGACTTATATTTTAGACTGGAAATGAGTACATTATATATATAACACTAACTAACACTCACACTGTATTTTCTATATATATTGAGATTGATAAAAAAATATATCAAAACAAGTCAAACCAATAAGGGGTGTATCTAGCGTTTCGACCTATGCATGTACGTAACTTTGATTAGGAAAAGCAAACTTCCAAATATTCGTATGATAAAACAAAGATTACTGAAGGGCGGTTTGAAGATTGTTTTCCAAGCGTAATTTACAGTGATGCTCTAGATTTTGATGATTAAATTCAAGTTTACATAGTAATTTTGCGTTAGGATCCAAATGCATATTGTAACTACAAACTTTTAGGATTACAAATTTTATTTAATAATTATGCAAACATAGTTAATCCATCAATCATTCAGGACAATCAGAAGATATTTAAACTCGTTTGTGGTCTATGCAAAAGACGTTGTCCCAAAAGTCCGTGGCAAATCCTATAAACGTTTCATTTTTAAGCCAATGATATGATGACGTCATCGGAGAAAATTTCCGTTAACGAACGAGACACGGACAATTGAAAAAATCTGTTGCAAAATTGGAAATTAAGAATAGCGATGTCCAAAGAACGTGCGCCGCAGCGTTTTTGAATATTTTGGAGAGACACCTGTTAAGATTTTACAACTTATGTACCAAAAAGAAAGATTAAGCAACACACCTCTAGCACCTGTTATCAAATGACATGAACGGCAGCTGAGTTCTGCTCTAAGGAAGGCGAAAAAAGGAAAACAACGAACAGGAAGACTGATCTCCGTCGCCTATTTCCGACAGCTGAAGTAGGTGTAACGAGACCGGCAGTTCGATTCTAACGAAGAATCTATGTCTGCCATCCAAACATTCAGCAGAGACTAACAACCACATGGTCAAGATTTGATGGATAAAACGACACCGTTTATGCGTTGAGTGCTACGGAAATTACTTTAAGAAAGGAGCTTCACGTAGGTTTAACGCCGCTAATAATGTTTGAGAATTAAAATATGCATGTGTTTTTTATATATGAATAAAAAAATAAATTATTTAGAGTTCAGCTTTATGATTGTGAGTAAAGTAATACCATTTAGAAGATATGTATATCATACATTTTCCTTAAGTCTTAGAAATTTTTTAACTTTACGTGGTTAATACTGTTTAAGCCCTAAATGCTTGAACACGTTACAAGGGGAGTAAATCTGGATGGTTTAATTTTTTTACGGTAGATGACGGTTGTACCGGAATTTAGCTATCTACCTTTCCGTTCGCCATCTTGTACAAGGGAAGGTCAAACTTTTGGACAGGGTGTATATTTTTGTAAAATAATCATGTTTAGGTTTAAATGTATCTTGAAATTTTGGTCACCCACCCTCCACAGCCGTTTTATGCAAATTAATATGTTGAAAATTAACAGTGCTTGTGTTTGCTGCTGGTTTTTTTATGTGTTTTTCAGATTGTCAAGGCATGTCATGGCTCACATAGTTTGGCAGACATTATGCTATGGTAATGCGAAATTGTGTTCAGAACAGACTCTTTGGTGATGTTACAGCCCATGAGTTGTTGGTGTATCGGCAAATAGTGAAATGACTTTGTTATGATGAGAAAGTATAAAAAGGACAATTTTTGTTAGTTTAGGACAGTTGTTTTACTACTCAAGTGAATTGTGCATGTGGCGTTTTTTAGTTTTCGCCACCAGCCTTTTTTGTGCTGTATTAAGTAAAAAGGAACGAAGTCAGCATCTGATCCCAGGGCTTTCTTCGCTCTTTTGTATGTTAAATAATAATTTAGTTTTCATTGAGCCATGGCCATTTTCTCCCATTCGTAAATAAACAAGTACCAAATTTTGATATACTTTTGTGTTTTTTGTTTAGAGTTAGTTCTCCTTGTAGTTACAGTTCAAACTTTTAAATGCAATTTTCTGAAAATTACATAAAATGGCATACGGGTTGGTAGAGGTATGCAAATTACTGGAGTAAATGTGCTACCCAAAGTTCAGCTGAGCATTCCTGTCCTAGAAATTAGTGCCTTCAGCGCTTTAATCTAATGTGTAGTGTAACAACGATATCATTTTGTATATTAAAATCATTGAATTCTAAAACAAGTTTCTAATAATACCATTAGCGTTTAATTACATACATTTTGACAAAAATAAACTTGAATTTGCTTTAATTTTCTGAAATGAAAGGGTGTTTGGAACGTGTATTTACCATACGATACAACGTGAGGTTTACTTACAGAATGTTGTTTCCATTTGGTCGAGAAAATGTCCATTTCATAGTTTGAGCTGACTTGGTATAGATCTACTACGTAATGTTGTAGATATGCCTCTTTGGTTTTCGAGAGAAAAAAAATATTTAAAGCAGCTGATCCCCAGAAGATAACGGAAAAACTACCCTCTTACTAATACTTCAAAATTCCTCATCAAAAACACTCTATAGTTGAAAGAAATCAAAATGAAACTTTAAAATGTATATATTTAAACATTTTTGCCCTGAAAACAATCAGTTTGCTTCTCCGCTAACGGGAAATACATTTGTTTCATTATACTTCCGGGTAATTTTCTAGTACAGGACAATATCGCGAACTGTGGTACGAAAACACAGAATCCGGGATCGTATCAAACATAGAGGGAAACGAATAAACTGCCTTTTGTTTTGATATTTGTAGTCATTTGTGGCACTAAACATTATAATTGATAAATTTTATCATATATATGATGTCCAGTATATCGATTTTTTAAACTATAGCTTGAAATATGAATAGGGCTTACTCATTGACGAAAATTGATATACGACCTGGGCGTACCGGATACTGGGATTTTTCAGAACCACGGTTGTGTCACGTGACCATGTTAAATGAATTATATTTTCTTAGTTATACTGGCAACTATAAAAATGGTCTATAATGACAGTTATACATTAATATTTCTTATGCACTAACTTACTTCCTATTATTAATGTTATAATTGTAAGGTCACTAATAAGTTTCTGATTTTCTTTTAAAAATTCTCTCTAATTGCATAAGGCGTCATGTTTCTTGAAAAACATATTCCATATTTTACTCAAACGAACAAAAATATACTCTTAGTATAAAAAACATGTAAAAAGGAAACAAAGTTCAGTTTATACCACTCTATACGAAAGATAAGACTTTTAAACTCAGAAAACAAAATATTTGGCCTTTCTACAGAAACTAGGTTAATAAGAAATTGTCCAATATATTACAATCATTTTTTCAGAAGAATCAATTTATTTCATTTTTTACATCTAGATCTATATGCAAAATTAAGATATTGTCTGCAACATGGAGTTTGCAGCCAAATGGAAGGGAGTTAGCTGTATGGAATTTACCTTGTAGCTATAAGTCAGTATATTATTTGTTAATTTAGTAACATTCGTTCATCTTATATTCATTTCAAATTGTGTAGAATAAAAATTTAGGCCCTATGAATCAGATCTTTGCCAGCATCGTTACAAACCGAACTCAACTTCTGTTTATTTGACCGTAAAAATGAATACATGTACTACAAAATATATCACTACAGAAAAATGTTTCTACTGTATTAAATTTTTGTGAATAGAAATAAGTTGCATACTTCTGCAAACAATGACATATACATATTCTTTATTATACATAGTCTTATCTTTACAAATTTAGACAAATATACAACGAAAACCAACAATGTATAGCCATTTAAGATACGCCATGTACGTCCCAATTCAATTCTTTTATTTTCACAAACTTTAGATATATAGTTGGCGAGCATCATGTTATGTGCGTGAGGCATTTAACTTCCTGATGAAATATCTTAAATATTTCGAATGGAAACTGAAAGAGTAGAGTTGAGAATAAAAACTGTTAAAGACAATATATTTTGTCCTCAACATTGACATAATACGCATTTAAAAATATTTTAAAGGAGCTAAATGATAAATGATCGTGCGATACTACATCTTAGCTGATAAATACGATAACTTTTCGTTACACTTAAACATTAAAGCCTTTGTGTTTGTGTTGAAGTCATACATATCATTTTAAAGCATTTGATTGTATCTCATGTTCAGTTGTGATGAAACAAAACAACAATAACAAAGAAAAAACTTGTTAAACATTTTTTTAATTACAATACAGAGACACCTGACTATATTTTGTTTTTCTAATAGTAAATAACTTTTGAACTTTTTAAAACATTGTCAATGTTAGACTTCGTGCAATTTCTCTTACATCCAATACATGTACTTGATGTTATTTTCATAACTATAAACAAAGACAATAAAAGCATAATTAGCTTAGACGTCCCCTAAATCCCTTATTTTAGCACATCTTGCTTTATTTTATATATATATAAATATCTTAAGCAGGACCATTGTGATCAAAGGGCTAATATCTAAACAATCGTAACAGTGGTTCCAAAGACGAGGCCTCCTGCAAAATATCTATGCTCTAGGACTTGCGGTTATGGGGAAGAAGAGTTTTTTTAATTATTTTGTGTCCTATGGCAACCATAATAATGCACGCAATTTAATTCTTTGAACAATTGTTCAAGTCAATAAAAAATTAATTTGCCTATTTTGTCATTTGTTTTTATATTTTTGTTTGTTAATAATTATTTCTTTTTATATCCAACGTAAGATTCAATAAGATGTAATGAAATTTTTTTAATAAACGGTTTACATCAGATAGGAATTACTATTATACAAACCACTAAAACATGCTCACATTAGACGACAATTTATTAAACTTTTGAAAAATTATTTTGATACAGTTTACGCAAAAGAAAACGTAGTTCCCAAGTTTTTATTGACGACATTTTTCTTATACAAAGATTGTTATTACACAGTTGACGTCTATTATCTTAAAGGTTTAAAAGTAAACGCCTCACAAAAAATCTACTTTAGTCTTAAGTAATCTTCCATTTGTTTTATCAAAAGCTATCACTTTCAGTTCTGTTTCTTCTGCTATAAGAATTTGGTCTATGTTATAGCACCTAGGCCACCCGCCTTCTGGAGCTTCTATAATTATTGTCCCAACTTCTGTACATTCGTCGTTCGATTCTAAACAATATCTAGGATTCTTTTTTGAACTTCGATACAAAGCAATAGAAATATTCATATTTGTTGAGTGCGGAATATTTTCATTTACGTTGACTTTGAATCGTTGGCCTACTTTCAAATTCATATCCTTTTCTATAACTTTAGAAAATATGCGATCACAAAAATATTTTCCTTCCCTCTTAAATTTCAGAGACTTCGAATGTTTGTCTCGATTGAATGGTTCGGCCACACAGAAACCATATGTGTATCTTGCTCTCCTCTCAATGATTACGTTTGGGTTCAATCCCATTTTCAGTGCACCCTTTAACACAGCAAGTCTTGGTTCTTGTGCAAGAACAATGTTTTTTACTTTCGTAGAAATGAATTCTCTCAGATATTGTGACTCGGCAAAACCGCCTACAACTAGAATTGTGTCAATTGTATCTCTGAAACATGATTTTATGTCATTTAAAATCATAATAATACCATCAAGTGATGATTTATAGAAAACTTCCATGAGTTTTTTATTACAACACAGTTTATTTCTATCCCGAAGTTCAACCCAAGTCGAATACCCTGACTGATTCAATAATGTTTCTATGTTGCTGTCTGAGTCGTTTTTGACCATCTCAATCAATGTTGATGGGATGTGTATGACAAACGGTTCGTCTCTTAAGTCGAATGTGTTCTTTACATTTTCAAAACCTCGCGTAAGCATTAAATAATCATAATAGTGCGATCTCTTGAACTTTTTCATAACTGGAGCACCACATAATTTGATGAGAAATTGCATGAACTCAATATTAACTTTGGATCCCCCAAAATCTCCGCCAACGGCACGATGAAGTTCTCGAATATTCCCACTGGACAAAACTTCATGCACACAAATGTCAACTGTTCCGCCTCCGAGATCAGCTAAAATGTATTTTGATTTGAGACGAGTCAATTGGGCGTTTGAGCTTGCACATAACAGTTGGGTTTTACAGAATAAAGCTGCTGCTTCTGGTTCAAGTACCAGTCTAAGACGTGTTTCATCAATGCCAGCTAAAATAGCTGCTTCCCGCATGAACTGACGGGCTGAGTCCGACCAAATTGCAGGTATTGACAGCATCCAAATGATCTTTTCAAAAGAATCTTTCTTACACAATTTGCTTTGTTTAACTGATTTCAAAACTAGCTCTTGAAAGTATTTAATTACAATTGAAAACACGGTCATAGCTTTCATTGGTCTATTTTCAGTGTCATAGATATGTATATCTGAATCTAATCTTTCGCTTTTGGTATATAGTGCCATTTTGAATTCACGAAATAAGCGATATTCTTTATGTTTACCTGACAGCATAAGCTTTGAATAGTTATCTTCAGCATCAATTCCAAAAGAATGAAGCGATTTATCCTGATTTAGGAGAAGTATTGTCGGTACACGATCGTCTGGTAAAATTGATCCATGACTTGCTGTAATTATGTTGTTCGGATCTGTACTGAACAAATAAGAGAATCCTGAATATGTCGTTCCAAAGTCAATCGCAGCAACTAAATTGCTAGGCTTTGCTCCCATTTTTGAATGGAAACAAATTATATTCCTTAAATATCTTACACAGTGTTGCTTCAAAATTTAAATACCAAATGGCAAAAGAATTTAAATCCCTCAACATCAAAATGATCACATGAGCCACTTTAGTAATCGACACATCTATACTTCTTAAAATTAATTTGGCCACCCAAGTATAAAATGCTAGTGTCCTAAAAGAGAAATCAATAGGCAAAACTGAATAAAATGGAATTTTGGAAGGGGGTCAGAGATTATGAAACCTGCAAATCACAGATAAGCTGTCGAAAGATGAAAAACTTTAGGCTTAAATAATGTCCACTCTTTTACCGCATCGGAAGATAACTGTGAATGAAATTACATTATAGTAAATGTACTGACGAATTTATGTAAGGCAGTATATTTTGTTTTGGGGAGATAAAGATTAGGGAGATATATATTTTGATGTAGTTTATAAAGTTAAATTTGAATCTTAAGTGTAGAGTTTTAAAATAAAATCTAATATGTAACTACTAATGGATAATGGGTAAAAGATATTCTAAACTAGTTTTAGCCATTGAAGTAGGAAATTATAAATCTGGATTTGCATTCGGTGAAGGAGACAGAAAAAATTCTAAAATCTACACTGCTATAGATGATACTAATCGTCAAATTGGCCGGATTCCTACTGCTTTATTATTAAAAGAAGATTTGTCTTTAGATAACTTTGGATTTTATGCGGAAGAAAAATATATATCCCTTTCCCTAAAAAATGAACATTCGAACTACAGGTTCGTCAATAATATAGACATATGTCAAAGTGATGATAAGTTATGTATAAAGGATTGCAGAGGAAACGAACTGGAAGCTGTACATATATATTTGACAATTATTAACTATTTGCTTCAAATGTGCTTAAAGCAAACGAAACGCTATGAAAAGTTTGAGAATTTAGAAAAATCTTTAATAGTTACTCTACCAGATTTTGTAAGTAAAGAACTAAAGGATTCTCTTAAAAGACTGATTAAAGACGTGAAAACTGTTCGCTTTGTCAGCACTTCAGAGGCAGCAGCAGCATACTGTATAAGTCAGCAACTTATCCTTGACGGAGAAACAAATACTAAAAAGATGCAAAATGGCACCAGTTTTATTGTTGTCAATTTTGGCAGGAGATTAACATCGGTTTGCTTACACAGAATGATATCCGATGACGATTATAAACTGTTGCAAGAGTTCAAAATCGGAACTGGCGGTGATTCTATTACTGACATTTTCTTTGAAGATATCATAAAAAAATATGGAATTGGCCATTTTTGGAATATATTAGGTGATCACTTTTGTGGCTATATGGATTTACGGCGAGGTTTTGATAACGAGAAACACAAATTTAACAATTCAACTGAATGTGTGCTTATAGAAATGCCAACCTCAATCATAATGAAACAAAATGACAATCATTCAGATAAATCTATTGTTTTTAAAGATAACAAAGTCATCATATCACAGAAACTTATGAAAGACTATTTTCAAAGGTCATTGTCCAGTTTGATTTCTACAATTCAAGAAATAGTTAAGGGCAGAGAAAATATTAAATGCGTTCTTCTTCTCGGTGGATATTCGAAATCGCCTATTGTGAGAGAAATCATTGAAGAAGTTGTGAGACCAAAACAAAGTATTCTTGTATATGAACCGGACAAAGGAGTTCTTAACGGAGCCGTGATGCTAGGATTTCAAGGCAACAGAGAAGTGGAAGAAATATACGGAATCATTTGTCTCCGTAAACAAATGAAAAGGTTTTCTTCTATTAAAATTGAATATGAAGGACACAAGGCATACTTCTTACAGATGGTTCGAAGTTCAGAGCTGAAAGATAGGAAATCAATAACTTGTGAATTAGAGTTTGAGGAAGACGAAAAGAACCAACCGATCGTTCTTTATCGAATAGATTCAGCCAAAATAGCAACAAAACAACCGCTTACGGAAAAAGATTTTGAAAAGGTTACTCCTGCAATGCAACCAAGAAATTGTATTTTGAATGACAAAGAGAAAGCAGAAATTTCAATGACAGAAAATGGTGTTATTTTTTCTTTAGAAATGCAGATACAACCAAATGTAAAAGGTTCTGAAAATAAATTTATAGGATAAGCTATTGTCTTGTTATTTTAGAATGTTTAAATTAAAAGTAATTTTATGCTTTTTCTATGACATATGCAAATTGGTGTTTGCTATTTTATAATAGTGTGTTCTCTCTCGTCGATTAAATTGATATAAAGTACTTATCTATTAGCTTTAAGTACGTAATATTAAAATATTAAAAAGAAATTTGAACTTTGAGAATCAAAAATGTAACATATTTTTAGCTCAACTGAGCACAATTTGTCCGATGTCGATCTTTCGTCTGTTTGTCCGTCGTAAACAATTTTTACAAACAAACATCTCCTTAGAAACCGATGAATCAAATTTAATGTCATGTTCATAGGAAGTTCCTAACATTTTCCACAGCAACCAAAAATTTCGATAGAAACCAATTACTTCCCATAGCAAACACTGACTTTCATAGCAACCAGCGACTTCGCATTGCAACCATTGACTTCCATAGCAACAAGCTACATTCCATAGCAACGAGTGGCTTCCCATAACAATCTTCTAACCTAATTTTTGTAAAAGATCTAGTGATACTTCATTTCCTTTGAAGTGTAGCAGATTTCAGCTCCCTTACAGTTTGATTTTTTTAAAGATTATTCAAATCCAACAAAGTGAATATAAAATAAAACAAAACTCGGCACGATGGAAGCTTCTGTTCACGATACCTATGACTCGCTTTTTCAAAATTCGAACACCAAAGATGGTCATGCAGAATAACATTTCCAAACATCAGCAACACATTTGAATGACACGTTTATCACATTGCCAATGATGTGTCTTTTAATTTAGCATAGAATAATGATCACACGAAGAGGAAAAAATAGTTTGTTTGGTGCCTACCTAGATGGGATTTTTCGCTGGTCTTGTGTGATTGGCTGCTTGGTTCTGTTTAAAGAATTTCCCTTCAGATTCTTGAGAAAGAAAGTGTTTGCATCATGATTAAAGATATTCGGCTTTACATAATCTAGAAAATCTTTTTGAATTTAACTAGCGTTTAAACACATATTATGCAAATATTTGAAAGCATTTTGACAACCGTAAGGTATGAGGGTATATGATTTAAACGTTTCATGCTTATATCTTAATGCGTGTTTAATGTCTTTTGTGTAAAAGGATTTATATTAAATCTTTGTTTTTTTGCCGTTATATATTTATTCTGGAAGAGTGTATACATTAATATAAAATATACACATTGACTTGTGACTGAGAACATTTACTACTGATACAGTTTATTTTAAAGATATATTGTGTTCATCCTTGAGTAAAATATTGTAATCACAGAAATTTATTGTAATATTTGAAATTCTTTCTGAATTTGACTTATTTGAATAAAATAATGAATATACTATAAGTGGGAAGCTGCGTTCCTATTACACGTCAAGCAAAATTGGTATTTTCTTTAAAGAACTGCTAGTTTTTAATGGCAATATATATTCATATTGTAACCACCTATAGTGTGGAAGATTTAAAACATACTATATCTATTTTGTGTTAGGTAAAAAGATGTTGATTTTATATTTACAAAAAAACTTTGTAGAAAATTATCAATATTTTGTAATATCAAATATGAGCATAGTATATCTTTAATATTTACTTCTATATAGGTTTCTGCCAAAATTGTACATGATTTAGAAATTACTTTCTTTATCTTGCCAAGAATCTATATTAAATACTTAAGAACGTGTACATGCATATAAAACATTAAAATAAAGTTCACTGTTATTGTTTGAAACAGATGTGCTAACCCTAGCATACTTACAGAAGATGTTCTCAATATGAAGGACACTGTCCTTGAAAATAACACTATTGCATTTGATGGAAGAAAATTCACACAGACAGAAGGAACAGCGATTGGTTCAAGATTAGGGATGAATTACGTATCTACATATCTTGGATCATAGGAATCACAGCTGATGGAGATAACAGATAAACTTCCGCTTGAGTATTTCCGGTATGTTGATGACGTATGGGGCCTTTGTACTCATTACATCGAGTCGTTTAAAACATTCCACGAGCTAAGGAATAGCCTTCACCCAAGAATACAAATAGAGTTAAGATATTCTACTGAAAAGCTTGATTTCCTTGATGTTATAACGAAGATTCAAAATGGCGTTTTTATAACAGACCTTTACACTAAACCAACAGATAAACACCTGTTCTTGCGCAAAGACTCTTCTCACCCGGAAACGACAAAACAATTAATACATTATGGACTTGCCCTCCGTGCTAAATGAGTATGTACTAATGAATCGACTTACAAACAACATAGGGAGAACATTGAAACTCGATCGACATATTGTAACCGAATTAAATAAAGTAGATAGTAAGAAATAAAAAGGAGTAATTTATTAGAATATAATGAACAAAATGAAAACACCGAAAGAGTCCCCTTGGTACTGAATTTTTCTTGAGCGCTCCCGAATGTAGGACAAATAGTACAAAAACACCTACCTGATTTACACAATTCAGACAGAATACAGGAAATATTCCCGAATCCTCCAATTACATACAGGACATTCTTGTTCATAAAAAAACACAACAAACTATTCTTTCAACAACAGAATTCCTGCGCTCCTTGCAATTCCAAAACGTGTGCGATATGTCCATACGTCATTGAAGCAGAGACACAATTATTGGTGTGAACGGGGCCTCGTACAGGGTACGAAATCAGATCACGTCTAAATCTACGAATGTGGTGTAAACAATTTTTTTTATTTTAAGCGTTGCAAACGTTTTATTTATGTTGGTGAAACAGGAGATATGTGAACCAAAGACATCTTAATTTATCCAGAATACGGACCAAGTTCACTGATCCGTTAGCGGCGCATTTTTACACAAAAGGGCACACAGGTAATGATTTTACAATAATGGGGCTGGAAAAAAACGGGAATGACCAACACCGAAAAACAACAGAAAATGTGTGGAAAAATAAATTAAGAACCTATGGACTTTATGTTGTAAATGCAAAAGAATAACGCGGCAGACAGCAAACAAACGGCGGCGGGTGTCGTTCAATGACGTTACGTCACTTCTATGTTTTGTTTTGATATATCTGTATGTATAATAAATGCTGCTGAAGAAGGCCGCAAGGCCGAAATAATTTAAATTTGCCGTAGCGTAACCCCTCGTATGCGATATAAATAATGCCTCCTGCGAACCGATAATAAATAACCTATTTACGCGGATGAAAAACGTTTTTTTGTCTGTTTCGTGGCGCGTATTTCCGAGGGATCACCCTTTTCCCAGATTTTCAATGTCTGAATACTTATAGCAATGTGGTTATTTTGTTGGTAATAAACACAACTTTTTATTCTCCCTTCTCTTTTTGTTTAATAGAGACACTGACATTATTTAAGGACAGTGAATTCTGCTATCTTCGAATAAATATTGGGTATTAATTCAATATAACATTTAGCGTGTCAAAATAGAGTTAGATTGCCCATGATATACTTCTTTTCTTTTTATTATTGCTTGACAACTTTTGGAATCAAAGGTGCCTCCTTATTTGATATAGCTATCTGAGGCAGCAACAGTTTATGTTGAATGTGATTTCATCCTTTTTACGAAAACAACAACACAACAAGAGCACCACTAGGCGGAGCATTATATGTCCGAAAGTGTTTTTTTTAAAGTAAGAATGAATCATTTGTAAGACATTACATAAATTACATAAAGTATTACCTCCTTCAAATAGCAATCCCCTATAATGTTTAAATATTGTGGGCCAAATGGAACTTAAGTTATGCTCTGGAAACTGTTTTCAGTTTTAAGGTAATAACGACCTTGAACTTTGACCTTGTGACCCTAAATCAATAGGGGTCTTCTAACCAATATGGACAATCATCCTATGAAGTTTGAGCACTATGGGCCTAATAGACCTTAAGTTATGCTCCGGAAACTGTTTTCAGTTTTAAAGTAATATTAATATTGACCTTGACCTTTTACCTTGTGACCCTAAAATCAATAGGGGTCTTCTACCCAATATGGACAATCACCCTATGAAGTTTGAATATTGTGGGCCAAATAGACCTTAAGTTTGCTCCGGAAACTGTTTTCGGTTTTAAAATTAGTGACCTTGACCTTTGACTTTGTGACCAAAAAAATCAATATGGGTCTCTACCCAAACGGACAATCATCCTATGAAGTTTGAATATTGTGTGCCACATGGAACATAAGTTATGCTCCGGAAACTGTTTTCAGTTTTAAAGTTATAGTGACCTTGACCTTTGTCCTTATGACCCAAAAATGTATAGGCGTCTTCTACCCAAAACGGACAATCATCCTATGAAATTTGAATATTGTGGGCCACATGGAACTTAAGTAATGCTCTGGAAACTGTTTTCAGTTTTAAAGTTAAAGTGACCCTGACCTTTGTCCTTGTGACCCAAAAGTCAATTGGGGTCTTCTACCCATTACGGACAAACATCCTATTAAGTTTGAGTATTATGGGCCACATGGAACTTAAAGTATGCTCCGGAAACTGTTTTCAGTTTTAAGTTAATAGTGACTTTTGTCCTTGTGACCCCTTAATAAATAGGGGTCTTTTAACCAATATGAACATTCATTCCATGAAGTTTGAATATTGTGGGCCACATAAAACTTAAGTTATGCTCTGGAAACTGTTTTCAGTTTTGAGAAAATAATGACCTTTGACCTTGTGACCCCAAAATCAATAGGGGTTTTCTACCCAATATGGACAATCATCCTATGAAGTTTGAATACTGTGGGTCAAACGGAACTTAAGTTATGCTCCGGAAACTGTTTTCAGTTTTAAGGCGATAGTGACCTTGACCTTTGACCTTGTGACCCCAAAATAAATAGGGGTTTTCTACCCAATATGGACAATCATCCTATAAAGTTTGAATATTGAGGGCCAAATGGAACTTAAGTTATGCTCCGGAAACCAAATTGCTAACGGACGGACGGACAGACAGATGCCAGGGGGTATAACATAAGATGCCCGAAATTCTTTCGGGCATCAACAAAAACAAATAAACAAA